TTTGACATTTTAGTCATGCAGTGAAGTTTATAATGATTGGACTTTCATCATCAATTTATCAAGAAAATAAAATTACAGCCTGCATATTATATTACTTTTTACCATAGATACTTTTTAATTTTTCCCACAGACCTTTCGTCTGGATATTGGTGAGAAAATATACGACATGAAGTTAACTCAGACGAATCACCTTTATTATCACACACTTGAAGATATTAAGATTTGGAACTTTAATCAGGTATTAACCAGTTACTGTGTTACGAACAAACAATGCAGTGCCTTGTAGTTAATCTTTATCAGTCATTGAAAATCCTGATCATTCATAGTGGGGAGAAAATCAATGGGCAGAAAAAATAGTCTGTTTTCAGTATTAACCCTGATCTATAATGGAATGTAGTTGTTGGTTCATAGTTTTATTCTTCGTGATGGTATTACTCATGCCAGATAAAAATTGAGTTTTGAACATAGCTGAGCACAAGTAAGTTGAACGTGCCGAGCATTGAACCATTTGAATGTTTCCGCTCAATGTTTCCAACATCGACAACACTGCCATCTTCTATCAGTAAGAAGCATGGATGTGAAAGATCAATAAACGTTCATTTGTTGTCGATAGCGTCAGGAAGACAGGCAATGTATCACAAATAAGTCAATGGAGGCACATTTAAATAATTCTGTTCTCATATCCAACATCAAAATCGTTATCAATTGATATTATGTTTATTAAAAAATCACCAGAGAAAAAATAAAAAAAAAATCATGACAAAAATGATTAAAATCGCGACAGTCGTTGCACTACGCATGAGCGACATTTGTGTTGATAAACATTAATTTTCCCACAATCCAATGCGCTCTTTTAATGGAAATCACAAGTATGAGGTTTTACCTGGTCGTGACTTGCACTAATTACCACCGGTGACTTCTCGATACCTTCCAACAACTTAAAAATACCTAATTAAAATTTCGTAATGTACCAGTTTGTACTCGTTGATCTGCGCAACAGTCAAAGTCGCCATCTTTGTTTATATGAGACCCATATATTTCGCGCATGCGTGGCGTGATGACTACCACCCTTTAATGTTGTTTTTGACAAGATTTGAGTCTCCTGACTGTAGCAGTCATTTACTTCATCAATTGGAAAAGCTTGAACAAACACATTTCTGAAGGATTCTGGAGTGTATTTTTTTTATTCACAAAAAAAAAATATATACATTAATTAATTATTATTTATTATTATTTACTATAATAAAACCATATTTAACTCTTTTATTTACATTTCTACAGCTGATGGCTACATGCGTTAAATAAAAAACTAAGTTAATATACAAAGTTACCTCAGTATATAGACAGTATGGTTCCCCTCAAAAACCAGCGAATTTATAAGCAATTAATTCTGTGAATGATACGCACAAATATTTAGAGTTTATTCATTTTATGTACTTATTCTGTTTGATATGGGACTCATAGCGAAGTATACAACATGTGTAAAATACATTGTTTGTTTACATGAAATTCGGACGTGTGCTGTACAATGACCACTGCCCTTTAATCTTTTGGACACCAAAGTGAACTTTTCTACAAAATAAACTAACATATTTTTTTTTAAATTTTATTGATACAGCCGATTAAAAATGATGTCATTTTGTCAAAACTTACCAGATCAATAAAAACATGTTTTGCGAAGTGTTTGCTGAGAAAATTTATAGCATTCAAATTGTCACTGATTTGAAAATATTTATATATATTTTATTTTTTCAGTTTCATCATTTGTTTACTCCTATACAATCGTGTGTTCATAAATTATCCAAGATTACATCACCTGGAATGCCGACTCGGATACTATGTGCTGCTGAGGTAGGTTGTTTCAAGGGTTCATAAACTAAGGGCATGTAAGTACTGTATGTAATGATATTCAAGATTACATCACCTGGAACGCTGACTCAAATACTATGTGCTGCTGAGGTTGGTTATATCAAGGGTTCATAAACTAAGGGCTTGTAAGTACTGTATGTGATGGTAACCAAGATTACTAAGATATCTAAGATTAATTTGACAGTACCGGTAATGCTTTTGACAAACAGAGAAAAAAAATAAAAAATAAAAACTGTTATTATCACCTTTTTATCATAAACTTGGCAAGGTTCAGATTGGCAAAATTCAATTAAGCGTCAATAACTGTCAATGGTTTCAGACGAGTCTCATACAATATTTATGAAGTGGATTGTCTCAGAGGAAAACAGCAGCAGGTGCTGTCACCAGCAAGTGGATTGACCCGGTTTTGATGATTTTGAGAGTATAGTTGTTAATTACATCGTTAACTTGTAATGAGAAAATGTATACTAATTTACTGATTTGAATTTGGCTGTTTTTGTTTATCTGTAGAAGTTGCTAAATTGAATCCACTTGAAATTTAGCTAATAGTTTTATTGTCAATTAAATCACTATTATATTTCAAACCGAGTGATCACCTGCCACACACACAATAACCCAAATAATTCTTTCCATAATAAATTTTATTAAGGTCTGCAGCCATTATGGGAATATGATGTTTATTTGGATCAATTTATTAACCAATAATTTTTATTAATTTATTAGGAAATTATTAGAAAAATACATCAAATAAACTAAATGTTGCACCAAAATTTGTTCTTGAAAAATGAAGGCGCTCAAACACTTAGGTACTCATTGATGGGCAGCAGAATACTAAGAATAGAGTAAAACCTGTGTCAATGACCAGCTCTATATAAAAACCATCTGCTTATAGTGACCACTTTTAGGAAGTCCCAAGGCGTAATGTATGACCAACCTGTTTATAAAGACCACCTGTCTTAAGTGACCACCCTTTCAGCAATATTTTAATATTTTTGCTGCATCCCTTTTGTTTAGAGACCTAAATTTTGTTTATGAAATAATTTTCATTTTCAAGTCAAACTTATTTGATTTCAATTCAATCCTTTAAAAAAATTTTTTTTTGTTTTGTTACAACAGTACCATATCATTATTTTTTGGACAAATATTATGTCAAATGTACAAGTTGGTGATCCATAAAAAAAAAAAATCTAACCTCAATATGAAGACCTCCTGTCTATAAAGACCATTTTATAAAGTGTATACTGTATTTGCTTTATTAGAGACGCATCTCATATTGAAAAACATACAAATCAAAAATTGCATTGGTTGTCTACTAAATCATTGAAATACTACCTATTTTGATCATCTACGAATAGAAAGAGTATGGTAGTTGATATTTAGGCTATTTTGGTAAAGGTTCATAAACATCAGAGGGTCAGTTTTAACAGGGTTCTTACAATCTTGGAATATACTGTAAATCACTTTATTTTCGCTTGGAATTTATTTTCTCTATTTTCGCTGAAGGCATGATTCCGTGAAAATAAAATCCAGCGAATATACTTTTTTTCCTATATTTTACATTAAACTCATCAAAAATCAGTGAAAATAAATTCCAAGCAAAACGCCCAAAAAGCCTTTTCAGTGAAAATTAATTCCAGCGAAAATAAAGTATTCCACAGTACTTGAAAATTCTTGAATTTGAAAGGTGTTTCAGGTCCTGGAATAATTCCCTTGAGTGCCTGGAAAATAAATAATCAGCATAAAAAGTCTGAAATCACTATTAAGATATGAAAAATGGATGGTTTAGATGAGTCACATTAAAAGCCAGGTATCACAATGAATTCTACTTATAATAATTCTCACCTTGACAACAATAACAAACAACATGGAGACTGACCAAAGTTAGGATGGAATAGTCCTGTAATTTTATTTCATTTGAGGGGTATGAACTCTGTTTAGGATGTGTTTATGTATGAATTTCTATTTTAATAATCCATTATATTTGTACAATACTATTTTGTTGGTATTCATTTTTGCAATTTCGGCAGAAACAGCTTAAAATAAACATCCCTTTTACAATGTTGCACATGTATTTGTCAGTGAGAATAAATGACTAAATTAAAGTATTAATTATAATAAGTATTAAAGACAGGGAAAGTGAATTACAGCCCAATAGTGTTTATTTACTAATTAATTCTTGTTTAAAAAATGAGTAAAACATTTAAATCAATGCTTTTCTTGAATGGGACTGGTGCATGGTTGACCAAGTGTATCACATAAAATATATGAGTACCATTAGTCTGGTGTAAACCTGGTCACGGGTGATTGATAGGTCTGGCAGGTTACATATTTGTAGTTACAGTAATAATTAAAGAGCTGGGCAAAATATCCAATATATTAAAAATATAAATAATTTGGATACAAGGTGTTCCCCTATTTGAGCTAGTTTTACATGTTAGTATTTTTTTAGTATTCAATCCTGAAATTAAAAATGCCACATTGTTGCCATGCAACTAGCTCATGCATTTTTTATGACTTTCCTGACAGATGTAAAAATTTTGCCTTGCATTGACAGCTGAAAATATTTTTGTTTCGTCTCACAGGATGGAAGTGTACGATTGTTGTCATCAGTGTGCGGCTCTGTACTTACTATAATTTACCCCATGGCGACTTACCAGGTAAGGTTTCTATGACCCCTAATAGGAGCAAATCCATGTTATGACACTGAGCAAGACTGAAATATTTGTCACATCATTCAAATTCTGGGTAACTCTTTCTATTTTTGGTATTTTTTTGTGAATCTGACTGCCACATGGGTTTATGTCAGGACCTGAAATTCAAATCGCAAGCAAATGTCAGTGGAATTCAAATTGCAAGCAGTTGTCATTGAAATTCAAATCGCAAGCAGTTGTCAGTGAAATTGAAATCACAAATTTTCATGGGTTTATGTCTGGATCATGAAATTCAAATCGCAAACAAATGTCAGTGGTGTTCAAATCACAAGCAGCTGTCATGGAAATTCAAATCACACGCAGTTGTCATTGAAATTCAAAACTCAAGCAATTGTCATTGAAATTCAAATCACAAGCAATTGCCATTGAAATTCAAATCGCAAGCAGTTGCCATTGAAATTCAAATCACAAGCGGTTGCCGTTGAAATTCAAATCACAATTGTCATTGAAATTCTATTACAAGATGTTGTCGTCGGAATTCAAATCACAAGCAATTGTCATTGAAATTGAAATCACAAATTTTCATGCGAATTCAAAAACAATTTACCATGGCAAACATTGAGGTGTAATATTCAAAGTTGTTGTGATATAGGATTACTTTCAGAATGTGTGACCTATAGGGGTCATGCATCAGTGTTTCTTGCATCATTTAGAATAGATTGATGTTTACCCAATTACTGTATTCTGTTGTCACAATATGAGATTGTTCTAAAAATAGAACATGTGTAATCATGTAGTACAGCAGGTGAAAAACATCAAATAGGAACAACAAGTGCAGATGGTAAAGACATTTTGAGGTAGTTTGCAACCAAATATTAAGAAATTATTGAATCCAGCAAAGAAGGATTGGGTTACTGTAATATTCAAAATTCTGAAATAAAAATAAAGCGTCATTAAACTAAGTTTTCCACAAAACGACCTTGAAAATTGATCAAAAATGTTTTTTTTTAATAGTTTACAATTGGTTTCTATGGTAGAAACATTCCATTATATCTCAAAATTGTGTTTTGTGACCTATACTAAAAAAATTGAATTTTGAATATTAGTATGAGTTATTACATGGAAACCTATGGAAAATGTTCCAAAACGACCGCTTTCTTGATTATTTTGCATATGTTTCCCCATAAAAATGTTAAATATGAATGATGTACATGTATGTGAATCATCACATTTTTTGAACAATTTTTGAATGATTTACTGTGAATATTTTTTTCCATGTTTTAATGGTAATGAACTACCTAAAACTTAACTGTGTTATTTTTTGCTATGATACCTGCTCTTGTTGTAAATGTCTAGAAAGTTTGAGAAATTATTTCAACATCACAATTGGTAACAGTAACTGTTATATAAATTCATGTTTACTCATTTGTCCAAAGTCAAACATGCAAAGTGACATTGTTTGAAATAATATTAATATAATGTTTCCACTCTCGATTACAGTTGCTAATTCACTTGGCTGTATATTCTCATCATTTCCAAACTAAGTTTAGGTTATTTCAAAAATATATGGAGCTCTTAAAAGAATTGTCATCAAATTTTAATACTTCCTGTCATTGATAATCCTATATTGCAAACTATTCACTAGACAAGTAGTTTGAGAAGTCAAGATTAGTTTATCAGCAACGTTTGATGATGCCTAAGCAATTCACAAAATCATGAATATTAATTAGTTAATTTGCACGTTGACAAACACCCCCAAACTACTTTTTATATTCTCTATATTGAATGCATACCTCCTCAATTTGACACTTGTGCATATTAATTAGCAAATTTGCATATTGATACAATCCCCCAAATCACCATAGTCTATATCTATTAAAAGTGTGAACTCATTTGCAGCTAGAATTTGACACCATCTTGTATATTAATTAGCAAATTTGCATATTTAAATATGATCCCAAAATAATGTTTAATTATTCAGGTATTAACTGATATAGTATATGACCCCAGTAATGATAGAATTTATGGAGCTCTGGCTACTTGTGAGGTCTTAGTATTTGACACCACCTTTACATATTAATCAGTAATTTGCATATTAATTAGCTATTTTGCATATTTTAATATAGTTCAAAACTACTGCTTATCTATTTATTCTACCAGATCGTACCTGATATTACTTTAGCAATAAAAGAATTTACATAGCCGTGGCTGCTGGCGATTCTTAGCATTTGACACCATATTTCATATTAATCAGCTAAATTGAATATTTTAATATAGTTCAAAACTATTGCTTATCTATTTATTCTACCAGATCTTACCTGATATACTCTAGATAGCAATAATAGAATTTACATAGCTCTAGCTGCTAGCGAGTCTTGGCATTTGACACCATCTTTGCATATTAATCAGCTAAATTGCATATTAAATATGATGTATTTTTTATTTTACCAGGTCTTAACTGATTTAGTATATGACCCCAGCAATGATATAATTTACATTTCTGGCTACTTGTGAAGTCTTAGTATTTGACACCACTTTGCATATTACCCAGTAATTTGCATATTAATTATTTAATTTGCATATTTAAATATAGTTCAAAATGATAGAATTTACATAGCTTTGGCTACTGGTGAAGTCTTAGCATTTGACACCATCTTTGCATATTAATTAGCTAATTTGCATATTTTAATATAGTTCAAAACTACTGTCTATCTCTTTAATCTACCAGATCTTACCTGATATCACTAGCAATAATATAATTTACATAGCTCTAGCTGCTAGCGAGTCTTAGCAATTTACATATTAATCAGCTAAATTGCATATTAAAATATGATCCCAAACTACTTTTTGCTATTTATTCTACCAGGTCTTAACTGATATAGTATATGACCCCAGAAATGATAGAATTTACATAGCTCTGGCTACTGGCGAGGTCTTAGTATTTGACACATCTTCTAATCCATGCTGTGCATATCAGTTGTGGGTTCCTAACCTACCAGATGAAGCTATACTATGCATTACATTGATGAAAATGGTAAGTCTCTAATTTAGATTCTGCTAGTGAATGGAATTAAAATAGCACAGGTAATAAACTGGAATAGCAAAGTATAGAATGTAGCATAGTATTAGAACAGAACAGAAAAGATTTAAATAGAATAGTAAAATGAAATAGAATAGGGCGGGAAATATGATAGAACAAGAGAATAGAATAGATTCAAATAAGAATAGAATATAACATGAGAGTAGAATAGAACAGGAGAACAGAAAAAAAGATTTAATAGAACAGTAAAATGGAATAGAATAAGATGGAAGAAAAGGATAGAATAGCTTCAAATAAGAATATGCATGTATTTGAATAGAATAGAATATGAAAGTAGAATAAAACAACAGAAAAAAGGTTTGAATAGAATAGTAAAATGGAATGGAATAAGATAGAATAGGATAGAATAGAATAGTTTCAAATGAGAATAGATTGGAATAGAATAGAATTTGAGAGTAGAATAGAACAGCTGAACAGAAAAAAAGATTTGAATAAAATAGTATGGAATGTCTAGTAATTTCAGTATAATGGAGTTCTTTCTAAGCTTTCTTTAATTAAACATAAATATAGTTATTTTTCAGCCTGTTATAGGTTCACTGCTCTGTTTTCGTATATGCATGCCCTCTCTTTGCGGATTGTTTTTTTTCTTCATGTACTAAGCTGTTCTGCATATAAATTGTTATTTCCTTAGCAATGTGCCCTAGGTGAGGCAGAGACTAGCAAAGGGCAGACATTGGTATTTGCTGGTCATTGTAATGGACAGATTACTCTCATGGAGTCTGACACTGTTGTCATGAAATCACCTGTACAAGCTCACAATGGTATGGTCACCATGCTGGACTACTCTCATGGTATCTATGACAACCATGCAACATCAGTTGGAGGTGCTGATAGATTGTTGTCAATTGGTACAGACAAGGTGAGTGGTCGCTTTAAGATTTAGTAAAAGTCAAGCAACAATAACAATAACAATCATAATCACAAACTTTGGTATACATATTTAATAAAGAGCTTTTAACTTTATGGAACAAATGGGACATGTATTTTTCCATCTGGTATATTTCAATGTGAATTATGTCTGCGTTTGAATTTTGTGTAAACAAATAACTAATTTCATACAAATACATATGTCACGTACGTGGGTCTCACATTGAACAGGATCAGTGCATTGACGATTACGCTCTAGTAATATAGAAAATAGTCGTTTTTATGCATTCTGTTAAAAAAGGAATTGAGGAATTTTACCCACCAAAAATTATCTTTCTATCATTTTTGTTTGGGAAAGGGATCTGGATGTATGTAATAATAGTCTTTGTTTGATTATTTCAGAAAGCTGGAGTTTGGGAAATCACAGTCTCCGGTAGTAAGCTAACATTAACACTGTTACAAAGTGTGAGTACTTCAACATTCCGGTAACCATAAACATTAGGGTAGATTGCTACTCACAAGGTTTTTACATGTGTAGCTATTTTAACGCATATAGCAATATTTAGTGTCAAAAGAAGTCTACAGTTATTCATTTTAGCATTAGTCAACAGTTTTTGGTTCACTGTCTGTCTGTTTTTTGAGAAGAAAAAAACAGTAAGTAATATGCATAAAATGCCATTTTAGCAGAGATTTTGATCCACAGACCACAATGAAAACATATTCTCTTGATAAAAGCTCATTAAAAATATTTTCAATTTTTTAATACTTCTAGACATCTCAAAAGTATGTTGTATATATATCTTTTTCACCATTTTTGCATATTAATTAGCTAATTTGCATATTTCAAAATATTGGGATTTATCCATTCCATGGGAAACAATGGTAAAATGACCCAAAACAGACACAGTTTTTTCTTCGAATCAAGTATGATGCCAACATAATTTTATTCCATTTTTCTCATCCTCTGAACATGATGAAATATCAAATATGTAAAATTAAAAAAAAGATTCTGTGAAAATGGAAATTTACTTCTCTGTAGCATTCTACCTTAAAGTTGTATTATCTGAAATATTTGTTGGTAGCATTTTACATACTGTAGAATACTTTATTTTCGCTTGGAATTTATTTTCGCTATTTTTGCTGAAGGGATGATTTCGTGAAAATAAAATCCAGCGAATATATTTTTTTTCCTATATTTCACATTAAACTCATCAAAAATCAGTGAAAATAAATTCCATACAAAATGCCCAAAAAGCATTTTCAGCAAAAATTAATTCCAGCGAAAATAAAGTATTCCACAGTATACAAAGTAAAATTTGCTGTATATTAAATTCAACAATTACAGAATTCGTAATTGTCAACAAACAGCTGAACATTGCCGAACATTTATGTAGATTCGGCTGTGACTGAATGATGATTTTTTTAGTTATAAACTGTAGAAGTGTAATTTCTGAGTAGGTGCCTTAACAAATTGTGCACCAAAGTCAAGTGACTTTTGTCATTATACATGAAACAAAACCTGCATAATTTTTTCATATTTTTTAATGCATTTATAAAAAAGAATTGATAAAAAAGTATATCAAAACAGGTGAAATACCAGAATCTTGGAGGGAAAAATGATGTTACTGTAAAAATTAAAACCCAGTGAATATGTAAAATTTAACATAGAACACATTATCTAAATGATAAAACCATGAATTTGAAACTCACTGAATATGTCTGAAATGGTAAATCAGCGAAATTTAAACCCAGTGAAAATTAGTCATTTTACAGTAGTCAAATAACAAATTTACCATCTTCTGAGACATGTTTGTTCAAAGTTTCCTCACTCTTCTTATTTACCTAATTTCAGATTTTCTGTGATATGTGTGCTACACATGTGTCAATGATAGGAAATGTGATGTCATTGGCATTTCCAAATAAGTAAGTATAAACCTTGAAAAAAGTTACACATATCTATAAATAGCGCCCTCTAGTGATGGAGTGTTTTCTAAGATGTCAAAATGGCATTTACACTGCCTGACAACAAGCACAGTGAATACAAAGGCTGAAAACTCTCAGAAAACAATACTCCTCTGAATAGTGTAACAATATTACCCATACATGTACAACATATACAAATTTGGTTGCTCAAGATTACTTCAAAGTTGATTTTGTGTTATTTTCACGACTTTAGCTATTTTCACCGGCTCTTCTGCTAGTGTTCTACAGCAGCTCGCGCAGAGCCCATAGAAATGCATGGTAGTTGTGCGCGTTTTAGCAACATGTAACATTCTGTGACGTAGTTCCATTCCCTGAGGATACGGGTGAAAGCAATGACATTTAACTCTGGATGGATGTGTAGTCTTTCGTCATCTAGAATATGGAAGAATCTCTCAAAAACATAATCTTTGAGGGATGGACGACTACAGATCAAAATGACATTGATAATTTAAACAGCTTTCATATCACTCATCCACATCACAGAAATTCTCCGTCACTAGAGGGCGCAATTTACAGTATTTCTCTATTTGCCTATTAAACTAAAAGTTGGAGATGTTTCAACTGAGGCTCAACATCCTTACTCAGTCTGAATAAAAGGAGATTTTGGCTGTATCACAATATTGATTTTGAACTTGAACTTATCTATTTCAATGTGAAAATTTCAATCTTTCAGTTGAGATATCTTTACTTATCAAATGTATAAAAAATCCCAAAAAGTTTTGAATTTTTTAAAGCGAAAGAGTCATCACCTGCGCATGCGTCAGATAGCCATAGCGTGTCATTGTTTACAAACAAGTGTCTACCCATGTGCCTTTGCGTTTTTAGCATGTCATCACTTGGGACTCAATTCCCACACATGCGCAGGTGACGACCCTCTCGCTTTAAACACATAGACCTTTGTTTGTCCTGTTTTTATGTTTTATTTCATGCATAACACATTATCTCGCAGTGAACGGAAAATGGTCTATTGTTTACGAAATACAATCCTGTAGTTTAACATTATCATTCTTTGTTTCCACCAAAAAAAATATCAATGGCAGTTGCATGCATTTTAGCATGGTAGTAGGGAAATTAAAAAAAATCACATGTGACGGACATTCAATTATAAATAATTTCTAAAAATATTAGAGTCAGCTGGCTTCTTTTCAAGTTCTTAAAAAGAGAATATTTACACTTTTTTTTCATGATTTTGGGAACATGCATGTTACTACGAACATGTACCAGAATTTAAACTGATCAACAAAATAAATAAATTCTCAACTTATTTTTAGTCGTGTATCAATGTACCAAATAAAGGACATAGAAGGCAATGAACGTACCGACGAAAACAACAACAAACGCAGAACTGCTGTACTGCTAAGTCATCATAAAGACGAAGACCATACCCAGCAGGTTTGTCATACTTATATTGATATTCAGATTCCCTGGCCAATGTATTTTCAGTTAATTCTGAACAATGGATTGACTTCACACTTTTCAGCTATGCCTTGGAAGCGTTCACGAGTAATTATTTTCAAACTTAGAAGTAAAAATAGTGCCACGTGTGTGTGTATGTTTATTTATGTGAGAAGGAGGGGAAAAAAAAAAGGAAATAAAAATTTGGGCTCACCGTACTCGATTAGAATAAAATCTGTGTACAAAAATGAAAATTTATGGCCAAAAATGAAGAAAAGAATAAACGCTGTCACAGACATAAATAAAACAAGAAAACATAGCATAAATTTCGAAGATTTTAGAAATAAATTTATATAATATATAGTCAAAGCCTATGTCAGTCAAAACACTAATTATTAGTGATCTATTAGTGACCATG